AGGTAGAGAGAAAAAGAAATTCTCTTTTTATATAAGATTTGCTGACAAGAGATATATTTAATAAAATACATTTTTTGATCATCTGATCTTTATAGCAGGATATAACACACATGCACTGTACGTGAAAACTGTAAATCAATATTTATGACTCAAATCAAATAACTCAGTGCCTCTCTCGTGGGAATGACCTTCTTCAGTCTAGAATCACACACTTGGGAAATTAAGCTGCTCACAATAATGCATGTATGATAGAAACATGTCATCAGAAAATTTCTGGCAATTCAATTGTGTAATACGGAAGTCAGGCTTAATCATCTTCATATAGCTGTCTTAAAGTCCTGTCAATCAATTTTTAATCAATGCTTTGATCTGGCCAAATGTTTTTTTTTCTTTTACATTAAGATATGACAAGGAAATCTTACATTCCCTACGATGCTACTTTTTCTGTTTGTCCAGTGTGTCTTGTACATTAAAGCACTTGGTGATTAGTGACATCTTCACTTAAATCATGTCATTATCAATGTTTTATTAACACAAATTTCAAAGGGAAATAATTGTGTCAAATCAACACAAAATTTTAACAAAGGGAAACAATTCAGTAATTAAGGGGCTTACCATGTATTTGGTACACTGCACAACTTGTTAGTGTGACCAATCCTCATTATCCTAATTTGAATGATGTTTTATGACCCTTGATTAAGAGTGTGCAGAGTTAAGCTCCTGACAAAAAAAGACAAATTGAAAGATAGAAGGAGGGACGGAAAAACCAGCAACAATATGCTCCCTCTGAAAATTACCAGGGACATAAAAATCAGGAATATCCTTACAGTGGTTGATTGACTGGTATTAGTGATAACAGGCATGTATCTAAAGCAAACATTCCTTGGTTACTGTATTGTTTGTTTTGAAAAGTCTTTGTTAATGAAATACTCATTATTTGTGCTTTAAGTAAAGTCTAGGTTACTGAGATGTTTCATTAATTATGCTTTAAGTTAAGTCTAGGTTACTGAGATGTCTGATTAATTATGCTTTAAGTTAAGTCCAGGTTACTGAGATGTTTGATTAATTATGCTTTAAGTTAAGTCTAGGTTACTGAGATGTTTCATTAATTATGCTTTAAGTTAAGTCTAGGTTACTGAGATGTTTCATTAATTATGCTTTAAGTTAAGTCTAGGTTACTGAGATGTCTGATTAATTATGCTTTAAGTTAAGTCCAGGTTACTGAGATGTTTGATTAATTATGCTTTAAGTTAAGTCTAGGTTACTGAGATGTCTGATTAATTATGCTTTAAGTTAAGTCTAGGTTACTGAGATGTCTGATTAATTATGCTTTAAGTAAAGTCTAGGTTACTGAGATGTTTCATTAATTATGCTTTAAGTTAAGTCTAGTTTACTGAGATGTTTCATTAATTATGCTTTAAGTTAAGTCTAGGTTACTGAGATGTTTGATTAATTATGCTTTAAGTTAAGTCTAGGTTACTGAGATGTTTCATTAATTATGCTTTAAGTTAAGTCTAGGTTACTGAGATGTTTCATTAATTATGCTTTAAGTTAATCTAGGTTACTGAGATGTTTGATTAATTATGCTTTAAGTTAAGTCTAGGTTACTGAGATGTTTCATTAATTATGCTTTAAGTTAAGTCTAGGTTACTGAGATGTTTCATTAATTATGCTTTAAGTTAAGTCTAGGTTACTGAGATGTTTCATTAATTATGCTTTAAGTTAAGTCTAGGTTACTGAGATGTTTCATTAATTGTGCTTTAAGTTAAGTCTAGGTTACTGAGATGTTTCATTAATTATGCTTTAAGTTAAGTCTAGGTTACTGAGATGTTTGATTAATTATGCTTTAAGTTAAGTCTAGGTTACTGAGATGTTTGATTAATTATGCTTTAAGTTAAGTCGAGGTTACTGAGATGTTTGATTAATTATGCTTTAAGTTAAGTCTAGGTTACTGAGATGTTTCATTAATTATGCTTTAAGTTAAGTCTATGTTACTGAGATGTTTCATTAATTGTGCTTTAAGTTAAGTCTAGGTTACTGAGATGTTTCATTAATTATGCTTTAAGTTAAGTCTAGGTTACTGAGATGTTTGATTAATTGTGCTTTAAGTTAAGTCTATGTTACTGAGATGTTTGCTATGGATAGCCTTGCTTTATGAGGTGTTTAATTTTGTACCCATGAGATGTTTTTATAGAAAGTCAAAGAATGACTACTGAAATGTTTAGTTGTGCTAAATCTTTAAATAAATATTAAAGATAGAAACTGCATTCTTTTTAAGCCAAAAATCAAAATATGAAATTCAAGAAGATGCAAAACACTTAAGAGCTTTGATGAATCTCGAGAAGTGGGATGACATCATTATTCCCCATGAGAATTTAAAGAAAGTGCATGTCATTTGTATACACTTGGCAAAATGAATTCCTTTTCTCACATGTTGAAGGGATGAAATGCAAAACATAGACTGCAGTTGCACTATTGATCAGATTGCGGCAGTATCATTAAATATGCATGAATTGTGCTGGTTGAGGTAATCATGATATCAGGTAGATTTCTGATCATTACTTCAAAATATATCAATGCTGATAACCAGATGTTTCAAAACAAGATACCGCAACAAGAAAGTCAACTCAAGTGTCAATTATGAAGATGGCGTTTCAGTTGATGACATAACAAGTAAAGCTGGAACATAGAAACCTAAAATTATTCCAGCCAATCAGATCACAGTAATTTTAATCTGAAGGTAAAACAAACAAAGGCCATGGAAACCTCCAATTATTCTAGCCAATCAGATCACAGAAATTTCATTGTTCCCAGGGAATACAATTACAGAAATACTATTGTGTACAGACAAAATGAATTGACCACCATGTAAGCATAAGTCAGACAGCTTCCCAAGTAAATCTACATCAATACACTGCTTAGGCTTAACTGGGTACATAAGTGAGGGCCATATTGAGATTTACAACTCTAATGAGTCATTGACACTTACAAGTATTGCTATTTTTACAATGTAAAAAAGTATCCTTCACCAGTAATACTGTCTGGAAATTTTTGTACATTATTTAAAGACAACACACAAAAGGGTTCAATGTCCCACGAAAGCTCAGAAACCATAAATACGATACAGCTTACTTTTATTGTGCCCAAGGAATATGACGTACTAAATACTATACAGCCTACTTTTACTGTGCCCATGGAACATGACGTACTATCACACGGAAACTCCAGCTTCAGGATTGCCGGTCTGGAAGCTGATTACTAATGTATTTACATTAATCCTATATGTTGCCTTTTCAGGCAACCAAAAAAATCCCCAGAAATGACGGAATGTTGTTGCCTATGAGAACAAGAAAAGTGAAGTTAGAGTAAGAATCTTACAAAGTGTTACCTACACTAATCTACAGATCTGAAAATTACCACCTTCCACTTTCTGAGATTCTGTAGATTGATTGTCTTTACTATATATATATAGCTAGTGTTTGAACACACAGGTACATATAATTAGTTTCTTCTACAAGTCAGCAATCAACACTGCTTCTCATTACTGCTGTAATCACGTTACACAAGCCTAATTCCCTACACTGACAGAAGACTTCAAAATCAAAGACGATACTGGTAATTGAAAATGATAGGTGGCGCAGATTACAATGGAAACTGAAGATGTATTTGTTTATTTGAGATTTAAAGTCCTGGAAACAACATTTGCTGATAATGAAGATTCTATGATTTAGGAAGGTGAAATATTACTTGAACACAATAGCACGACACCCATAATCATGAGAACAGGCATTTCATCCTCTCAGTATCATAAAGAAAAGCACTATCACCTCTCTTATGGAGTAACTCACAGACAAATAACTTTAAACGTTGCAATTATTATATTTAAGAAGGAATGTTGAATCTCCTTAGAAGTACACACATAAAGGTCATTTTTGATTGTCCTTACTAATTAAGTCTACACGAGAATTGATTTAAAGAACAAGAAACATATGTCTCTCAATATGAACAATTAGGCACATTAGCCACTTTTGTAGTAGGTTGGATGTGCAAGAATAAAAAATCAAAACATTTTACTATTCTTACTCAATTTTGTGAGAAAATTTGACCTTTGACCTCGAGATCAATGTTCCAATGATCACATAACCAAGCAATGCATTTTGTTAGTCAATGATAAAGATGTTCAGTAACTTTCAGTAAGATAACTTTTAAGTTGTCATCCAGACAAGATATTATTGTAAAAATTTGCTTTGATCTAACCTCTGACCTTGAGGTCAAGGCTACAGTAACATAATGGCACCCCATGTTGGCTTTAGACGATGCAAGTATATTGTTAGTTTTTTCACAAAAATTTCAATGGTTTTAAAAGGGATAACAAGGTGAACAAGAAATTGTTGGAAGATACAGAACCAAAATAATGGTAATTATTATTATATAAACCATATACAGAACCAAAATAATGGTAATTATTATTATATAAACCATATACAGAACCAAAAGAATGGTAATTATTATTATATAAACCATATACAGAACCAAAATAATGGTAATTATTATTATATAACCATATACAGAACCAAAATAATGGTAATTATTATTATATAAACCATATACAGAACCAAAAGAATGGTAATTATTATTATATAAACCATATACAGAACCAAAAGAATGGTAATCATTATTATATAAACCATGGGGAGACATAATCATCATCACAAGTGTTACAGTCAGATGTCAACCAGGTGTATAACTTACGCAAGTTTTGATTAAATTTAAATTTCAACTACTTAAATCTGTGGGACAAATCTGTGAATAAGACAACAAGGCAACTCACAAGTTCTAGTTGAGAACATTACAATTTGACCTGTAGTCGTGCACTGAGAAAATAAATAAACTTGAGAGTACTTTTTTTGCATCAGTTAGGTTGAAAATTTCTTACCTGTTCAACTTTGACCTTGACAGTGAACAGATACAAATAATTACTATTCATAAGTGACACTTGCCTGATCACTGTAATCATCCGGTAAAAACACATCATCATAAGCTTCATCACCATCATTTTCAAACTCATTCATTTCATCCTCCGGAAAGTCTTCACCTCCACCAGCCTCCAGAGAGAGTGTCACTTGTTTTTTGCCCTTGGGAGGTGTCATGAAGGACAGAGGTTTGTCGCCACACTCCAGGGGATCGTCACCACCAGGGAGCCCAGTCTTATCCTCCATGACACAGCTATCCTTCCCAGTACAGATTTTCATGTCTCCTAGGGAACATAAAGTATACATACAAATTAACATCACAAATATTAATGATCCACTATCTTACTGAACTAGAAATAATGTCCAGGTCATTCAGAACATTACATGTGGTATTATCTCTACATTTCATCATGCTGGGCCTCTTCCTTATTCAAAACAAACTGTTGGAATGACTTTATACACATTTCCCCATTATTCTTGTAGTTTAACTCCTGTGTTAAATGTTAGTTCTTTCTGCCAACCATTCCCATACATATAACCAGCGCAGTAAAAGAACATTAAGTTATCTGTTGTCAGTGTCAATGACTGAAGTGATAAGCCAGCGTATATTTCAACAATTAGATTTTCAGACAAGTTTTCCTAGTGGTGTCGACCAACAGTTCACTTCTGAACATACAATACAATAACTGATAACCTAGTATCAGTATACATGTGTTGTGAAGCCCATGATAATTTAATTCACAGTTCTCACCACTTCACCCCTAAAATATGTTTTTTAACAACTACCAATCAATTACATGACAAAATTTAAGCATGGAGTAAAAAACACTTAGGACAGACAGTTACGAGTGGGTCAGATTTCAATATAGTAACCATAGCAACAGGAAAGCTATAAATTTCTAGCAAGTTGAAACTTTGAAGTTGTGTTGATTTTACAGAGGAGTTAAAAGTAACAGAAACCTTATAAAAAAAAAATTTCTAATTATAAGAATCAGGATTAGACAGAAACATAAATTACACGACAACTGAAGTTTTCTCCTCTGGGGCAACACAACTAGTCTGAAGAAATAACCATAAGTTTCCAGAAACAGAAACATTTATTTGACAGCTAGGAGTCTCAATGTCATTTATCATACATTTGGTTTGTGGTCAAGTTCAACAAAAATATAGGATAATTTTCCACATCACATAAATTGTATTTATCCTAAAAGTAAATCTTGAATAGTACTGCCTAAATCTTCAGGCGATGTCATCACAGCATTTACTGTCAAATCTGACATCAAGAACATGATATTTCACTTAAAACCAAACTGTTGTAAATATAAAGTATACTATTAACCATACCTAAATCTTGTGAACCTGGAAGCATTCTGTTTTTCTAGCTCTGAAATCTTTAAATTGAGTTCGCTATCCACCGAACCTGAAAACACTATTTAAAATCCAACGCTTGTACCAATCCTTCAGCAGAGCAAATCGGATCTCTTTAACTGTATTGAAAGCCTGAACAAAAGTAATTGGCATTTTGTCTACATGTACAATTCCCGTAGGCTGCTGATAGGTCAAAAGCCATCAGTGTGGGCCCAAGTAAATTGAACTCTTCACTGAATTGTACAAGTTTGGCAATCGATAAATGAGAACACTAGAAAGATTTCTACTGGACCAAACAAAATTTCTCAATACGCTGGTTGGTTATAGGTTATCAGAAATCTCATTGATTTCCAGATGAAACGTTCTTCAGCAGTTAGAGCAAGGCTTTACAATCATACCACCTCTGATAATTTTTTACCTGCAAATAACGGTCAATATCACATTGTATAATGACTCGTAAATGCCATTCCCTCGGCTATTTGAGAAAAAAATCATGCATGAATCATTTACGTTTTTGGATAAAAAGTAGTAGAGTATTGTACCGATGATTTCCGTGCAAAAAAAAGGTGCTGTTATTCGGATGGAATAATGTTTTGATCTCCTGTCATTAGTCTCCATGTTTCAAACACCACAGTTGTTTCAAACACCTATATATATATCTAGTTATAAGTTCATGTCGACAATCAATATTTTTTTTTGTATATTCTATATCACACAGACATTTATATATTGTTATGATGTAGATAACTTTATCAGCCACTATGTCTAAACGGCATGTACCATTCTACAATACCGCCATTTAGTTCATGTCGACAATCAATATTTTTTTTTGTATATCATAGCGGAATTTATATGACAAGACAAATATCGGAAAATATTTACACTATATCACAGACATTTCAATATCTAAAATATCTACTGGTATCTATATCCCAGACATTTCAATATCTAAAATACCACATCTATATCTCTTTCTAAAATATCGGAAAATCACACAGACATATATCTACTGGTTCTATATCACAGACATTTCAATATCTAAAATATCTACTGGTTCTATATCACAGAGACAATTCAATATCTAAAATATCATCTGGTTCTATATCACACAGACATTTCAATATCTAAAATATCATCTGGTTCTATATCACAGACATTTCAATATCATTTCAATATCACACAGACAAATATCTAAAATCTACAGGTTCTATATCACACAGACATTTCAATATCTAAAATATCATCTGGTTCTATATCACAGACATTTCAATATCTAAAATATCATCTGGTTCTATATCACAGACATTTCAATATCTAAAATATCTACTGGTTCCATATCACAGACATTTCAATATCTAAAATATCTACAGGTTCTATATCACACAGACATTTCAATATCTAAAATATCTACTGGGTTCTATATCACACAGACATTTCAATATCTAAAATATCACTGGTTCTATATCACACAGACATTTCAATATCTAAAATATCTACTGGTTCTATATCACACAGACATTTCAATATCTAAAATATATCTGGTTCTATATCACAGACATTTCAATATCTAAAATATCTACAGGTTCTATATCACACAGACATTTCAATATCTAAAATATCTACAGGTTCTATATCACACAGACATTTCAATATCTAAAATATCATCTGGTTCTATATCACAGACATTTCAATATCTAAAATATCTACAGGTTCTATATCACACAGACATTTCAATATCTAAAATATCATCTGGTTCTATATCACAGACATTTCAATATCTAAAATATCTACTGGTTCTATATCACACAGACATTTCAATATCTAAAATATCTACAGGTTCTATATCACACAGACATTTCAATATCTAAAATACAGGTTCTATATCACAGACATTTCAATATCTAAAATATCTACAGGTTCTATATCACACAGACATTTCAATATCTAAAATATCTACAGGTTCTATATCACAGAGACATTTCAATATCTAAAATATCTACAGGTTCTATATCACACAGACATTTCAATATCTAAAATATCTACTGGTTCTATATCACAGAGACATTTCAATATCTAAAATATCTACTGGTTCTATATCACAGACATTTCAATTCAATATCTATATCACACAGACATTTCAATATCTAAAATATCATCTGGTTTATCACAGACATTTCAATATCTAAAATATCTACAGGTTCTATATCACACAGACATTTCAATATCTAAAATATCATCTGGTTCTATATCACAGACATTTCAATATCTAAAATATCATCTGGTTCTATATCACAGACATTTCAATATCTAAAATATCTACTGGTTCTATATCACACAGACATTTCAATATCTAAAATATCTACTGGTTCCATATCACAGACATTTCAATATCTAAAATATCTACAGGTTCTATATCACAGACATTTCAATATCTAAAATATCTACAGGTTGTATATCACACAGAAATTTCAATATCTAAAATATCTACAGGTTCTATATCACAGACATTTCAATATCTAAAATATCTACAGGTTCTATATCACACAAATTAGACATTTCAATATCTAAAATATCTACAGGTTCTATATCACACAGACATTTCAATATCTAAAATATCTAAAATATCATCTGGTTCTATATCACAGACATTTCAATATCTAAAATATCTACTGGTTCCATATCACAGACATTTCAATATCTAAAATATCATCTGGTTCTATATCACAGACATTTCAATATCTAAATTATCTACAGGTTCTATATCACAGACATTTCAATATCTAAAATATATCTATATCTATATCACAGACATTTCAATATCTAAAATATCATCTGGTTCTATATCACAGACATTTCAATATCTAAATTATCTACAGGTTCTATATCACAGACATTTCAATATCTAAATTATCTACAGGTTCTATATCACAGACATTTCAATATCTAAATTATCTACAGGTTCTATATCACAGACATTTCAATATCTAAAATATCTACAGGTTCTATATCACACAGACATTTCAATATCTAAAATATCTACAGGTTCTATATCACAGACATTTCAATATCTAAATTATCTACAGGTTCTATATCACAGACATTTCAATATCATATACAGGTTCTATATCACAGACATTTCAATATCTAAAATATCTACAGGTTCTATATCACACAGACATTTCAATATCTAAAATATCATCTGGTTCTATATCACAGACATTTCAATATCTAAATTATCTACAGGTTCTATATCACAGACATTTCAATATCTAAAATATCTACAGGTTCTATATCACAGACATTTCAATATCTAATTTATCTACAGTTTCTATATCACAGACATTTCTATATCTAAAATATCTACAGGTTCTATATTACACAGACATTTCAATATCTAAAATATCATACTGGTTCTATATCACAGACATTTCAATATCTAAAATATCTACAGGTTCTATATCACACAGACATTTCAATATCTAAAATATCTACTGGTTCTATATCACACAGACATTTCAATATCTATATCACACAAATTTCAATATCTATCAGGTTCTATATCACACAGACATTTCAATATCTAAAATATCTAAATATATCAATATCTAAAATATCATCTGGTTCTATATCACACAGACATTTCAATATCTAAAATATCTACAGGTTCTATATCACACAGACATTTCAATATCTAAAATATCTACTGGTTCTATATCACAGACATTTCAATATCTAAAATATCTACAGGTTCAATATCACAGAGACAATTCAATATCTAAAATATATTTCAGGTTCTATATCACACAGACATTTCAATATCTAAAATATCTACTGGTTCTATATCACAGAGACATTTCAATATCTAAAATATCTACAGGTTCTATATCACAAAGACAATTCAATATCTAAAATATCA